CAATACCTCCTTGCTGTGGATAACACAATTTTTTGAAATTTTGGGCAGCTTTTCATTACAGAGACCTGAAAACAGTGCAATCAAAAACAAACACAAACACAAACACTAAAATCTGGCCCAGGAGGTTTCCAGGTTTGGGGAAATTGCAAAAGAGAAGGGAAGTCTCCTTGTGAAAATTTCACACAATTTCTGGCAAAGCAACACCCAGCTTTGCTACCACTCCCCATCCTGGCCCCATTTTGTTAATATGAAACATCTGGGGGGGGAAGCCTCCTTTCTTGATTAACCCCCCAGTTAAGTCAATTGGGAAAAATTCCATAAGCCTCTGGAGATGAATTGCTGGTCCTTTGCATCCTTTTCCACTTTGAAAAAGGGGGGGATACTCCCTCACTTTGTTCCTACCTATCAACCAGCCCCCTGCAATGTGGGCCTGTCTGGGGGGGGTTGAAAGAGAGGAATAATAAGTTATTTACACTGAAGGTTTCACTTTATTTTCTAACTTTCTTCCCCGTCTCTTTTTTTCTACAGCACTCATGAATTAAACCTGCTGTCCTTCCTGATTCCTGATGGGAAAGGAAGGTGTTTTTTTTCAGTAACTGATGAATTTCTGGCTTTTTCGCAACCTCTGAAAAATGGAGGGTCAAGATCTTAGATTGGGGGGAGGAGAAGAATGGCAGCCTGGAGCTTCTCCTGCTGAGACACCTCTGGCTTTCCTTTGAAGACCTATCTTTCTTGTGAAGGAGGGATGGAGACTATCTAGATGGACCCCAGGGACTCTGGACCTGTCAGTCCAGACACCCAAACCTCTCCCGGCTTTAAATCCACAGCAGCTTCATCTTCATTACTCTTCGTCTGAATCCCTTCCCTTCGCTTTGCTATAAAAGAATAAACATTGTAGGAAAAATCCTGGAATTCTTCCTTCCTTCCTTTCTCTTCCTCCTCCTCTTTCCTCTTCCCACCTGCAGGAGGGTCCTCCATTCTCCCCTTCCCCTCCCCAGATTGACACCTCTCCTGCCTCTGGATCAACCATCCCGGCTACTTCAGGTCCAAAGTCAAAACTGGTTCGGGAGGAGGGTGGGCAGATCCAGGGAGGGGAAGAGGCAGGACCACCCTCCTGCTTGGGGGCCCCCTTTCTCTGCTTCTCAATCCTACTTTTGAGAACCAGGATGCCAGAAGGCATGGTCCCCTTCAAGCACTTGTGGGGAGCCATTGGGGGACACCCGAGACTCCCCCTACACTCACCCAGCCATTTGTGCCATTTCCCTCCTTCACAACTGGAGGGTCCTACCCCATTTTGGCACCCAAAGCCTCCCTCCCTCCACCTGGGACCCCAGAGGTCTTTTCCAGGACTGCCCACCTATCGCCAATGCCACCCCACAGCCCTTCCTGCCTTCGGATCTGAAGCCCCCTCCCTCTGGGCAGAGGAGACCCCTAAAGCAGCGTTTCCTGCACAGTTTGAGGCTCCTCCTGCTTCATGTCCTGGGTGGAGGACCCCATCCTGACCCGATGGTCCCCAACAGAGAGAGTCCTGTGCGAGTCTCACGTGTGGCCCCAAACTGGAGCTCATCTGAGACCCCCCACCTCAGAAAAGTCCCTGAGTGGTCCTGTGGCCAATGGCCTTGATTTCTGGGAAGGTTGCACTGATGTCCATCTCCCTGGTCTGAGGGCTCCTGGGCAGGGGGTGTTGGGAAGGGTGTCTTCCCCAGGGCCTCTTTGGGCCAGAGCAGAAAGTCCACCCGAAGCCATTCCTGGTGTAGGAGACATTTGTCATCAGGGGGGAGGGAGAGCAGCTCTGCGGGAGAGAGGAAAGTTCAAGGGGGCAACTCTGAGTGGAAGGCCCCTCCCTTCTCCCCAGCACCCCCAGATGCCCCTAGATAGCTCTCCCACTGAGCCTTGCCCCCTCCAGAAGTCATTCAGACTGGTTCTGCAGGATTCCCCTGGCTTAGATCTCCAAGGGCAGATTTCCCCCCCCTCCCATTCCTCATCTGGGGCACATAAAGTATAGGTCGGTGGAGGAACTGTCTCAAACACAGAGAAGACTGGGGCTTCTGTTAGTAATGCCCCCCCCCCCTTGGAAGAGATCCTGTGGACACCTGGAAAAGGGACAACACCAAATGTACCAATTGTAGAAAATAAAATCAGAGCAGACTTCCTTAAGATAAACAAAGACCTGTGTTGGTGATTGAGGATTCATTGCTCAGAGGAACTGAACCAGCAATTTGTAGAATGGACAGTCAAACTGTTTCCCAGGAACAACTATCAAAGATGTGAGTGAGAGGCTTACTAAAAATAATCCACAGATTATTATTCCTTTCTCCTCTTGCAATATTTGAGGGGCTGCGTCAAAGAAGAGGGAGCCAAGCTATTCTCCAAAGCCCCTGAAGGCAGGACAAGAAGCAGAGGATGGAAATTTATTAAGGAGAGATCTGGATTTAAGGAGCAATTTCCTAACAGTGAGAACAATTGATCAGTGGAACTGCTTGCCTCCAGAAGTTGTGATCACTTCATCACTGGAGGCTTTTAAGAAGAGACTGGACAGCCATTTGTCTGAAGTGGTGTAGGGTCTCCTGCATGGGCAGGGGGCTGGACTAGAGGACCTCCAAGGTCCCTTCCAGCTGTATTATTCTGTTATTCTTTTACATTTTTGCACAGCAGATTCTAGATGCTCCCCATTTGGGGGTGTCTCCCCTGGGCACTGAAATCCAATGTGGAGAAACGCCAGGAGACTCCCAACCACTTTAATTCAAAGCCTTCGGGCCAAATCTTTCCTTAGAGACTGATCCATTTGCTCTCTTTCTTTCCCTCCTTTTACTTCCTAGGAAAAAATGTCTCTTTTTGTTTACCATACGACCTAACTCTGTTTTACATTGTTTGTTTTTTAAAATCCAGTGTTCTTGCCATTCATTGCCCCGTTTTGAAAATATGCTTTTTAAAATGGGAATTAACAAATTTGATTATTTAATTCACTTTGATCGGTCTGCCACAAGGCGAAAGTATGAAATCCACACTTTATACGAAGGGTAAAGAAGAAGCAGCTCCTTCATTTGAGTCTTGTTACGGATACGCTATTTTCCCTCTTCAACAATGACTTTTTGGATGATCTAGAGAGGAAAGGCTCCCTGTCAGCAGGTGAAAATCCCTCACTCACCTGGGCTGATCTCAGAAACTATGCAAGGCCAATCCAGGCTAGTCCTGGGATGAAGCGGTCTGGAAATCCCAGGATGGTCTCTCTCTCTCTCTCTCTCTCTCTCTCTCTCTCTCTCTCTCTCTCTCTCTCTGTCTCTCTGTCTCTCTCTCTCCTTCCCTCCCTTTTCCCTCTTTCTCTCCCTCCCTCCCACTCTCTCCCTCTCATCTGTATTA